CGGCCCCAAAAAGGAGGAGAAATAAGGACGATATATGTTTGATAAGGATGAAGGAGCAAACCACACCAGAGCACCCGTCAACCACCCAACCCTGCTAGTTCGCGGCATCGTTCAGATGTTAACAGTCGTAACAAAAAATCTACCATACACTAGCCAGCCCTTGTTATCTGTAATTAGACTACTTTTCATGTATTGTTCAGAACCTTCATTTCTAACTAATTTGGAGTTGATTGTATGCAAATAGGTTCAACGGGAGGGGTTATAGGGATGTTTGTTATGCTGAAAACTTGGATGACCAAACTGGTTGCAAACAAAGGAGATAGCCTTCGGAATACTCATTGTTAATTATAGTAAAAGTGATGGGTGGCTATTTGATGCTTGAAAAAAAAAAGCTAGAAAAAACTGATAGAAACAACAGAGAGAAACTAAAGCATAAGGAACTGACAGTGGTACCCTCCATCCACCAACGCATAAGCAGCAAACAATCGTACCCCCCCCCCCCTCACTTCAAGGAATATATTAATTGCGCCCTAAACTCTCCAACTTGGTTCTTACCTGATACTATACCTACTTTCAGCTTATCATTCAAATTAAAAAAAAAAAAAAAAAAGCCTCAACCTAACTTGAATGACACTGGTAGTTGACACTGCGCATTTTGGGTCTTTAAAGTTTACAACCTGAATGGCTGACCAAATCAAGTCATCGATCTGCTCTACTATCACCTGAAACAAAGCACTTCCGCAAGCGTGAACCACCCAACTTGTGTCCCCAGCAAGAGACTTTTTGCGGTCTGTCAGGGTTATAACAATTGAAAAAGCCAGTAGAGCTTCCCGAAAAAGGATAATACTATTCCCTATATAGATTAAATCCTTCTGTTATTATCATTGTTAATTATTATTATTATCAATATAATAATAATAATAATAATAATAATAATAATAATAATAATAATAATAATAATAATAATACTAATAATAATAATAATAATAATAATTATTATTATTCTCATTATTCTCAATATCAAATCTCATTATCATTGTCATATTATTACTATTATTATTGTTGTTTCTAGTAATTACTTTGGAATAATAATAGTAATAAAAATAATAATCATAATAATGATAATAATAATAATGATAGTAGATAATAATAAATAATGACAATGATAATAATAATAATAATAATAATAAAATTAATAATAATAATAATACTATTATTATCTTTAGGTAGTGGCTGTGGTTAAAGTTGTAGTAGCAGCCGCAGCAGCAGAAGCAGCAGCAGCAGCAGCAGCAGCAAAGCAAGGGTAGCAAAGAGTTTTACTTCAACAACGAAGTGAGCGGCATGAACGAGCCACCAGTTACGCGCTAAGACAGTCCAGAAGACACACGGCGAAGTCCTTACCTGGGAGATAAAGGTGTTGCAGGGGGTGCGAAACAAGACACTTTCTTCAGTCACCGGTGGGCCTAGAGTGTGCAGGTTAGCCCGCTCGACCTTCCGTTTTATAGGTCTCTGGAGGACCAGTGGCTTGGGAGCCTGTATTCAGGATTCTGTTTGCGAAAGTAAGAAAAGAAACGTTTGTCTAACACTATTCGTCAGTATCGAAAATATCGTGAAAGAAGGAAGGGGTGAAGGAAAGAGGGTCGGGGGTTCGAGGTGGGGGTGGGCGAAAGAGGGAGGGTTGGTAGGCAGCGCTCGTTGGCAGACAACCCAAGATGAGGAGTGAGACGAAGGGGATGGGGCGTTTGCTCAAACGTTGTGTGTGCGTAAATATATACGTGTGTCTGTGTGTCTGTCTGTATATGTCAGTCCGTCTGTCTCTCTTTCTCTCTCAACCCCCCCCCCCCCCTTCTCTGTTTTACTCTCCATCTCTGCGTGTGTATGTGTTGGATAAAATAGGATGGTGGAGATTGAGGGGTGGACAGGTACGTGAGGAGGGTAAAAATTTGTGCGTGCGGAAGTATGGGAAAGAAAATCAAGGGGATAGGTATTTGTATGGAAGGACAGCTCGTAGGAATATGGAGAAGAGTTAAGGGTGTGAGGGTTATGTGTGGAAGGTGTTTGGTGTAAGTATATATGTGCGTATGTGTGTGTATGTGTGTGTGTGTGTGTGTGTGTGTGTATGTGTGTATGTGTGCATGTATGTAAGTGTGTGTGTGTGTGTGTGTGTGTGTGCGTGTGCGTGTGTGTGTGTGTGTGCATGTGTGGTAGATAGATAGATAGATAGATAGATAGATAGATAGATAGATAGATAGATAGATAGAGAGATAGAGAGATCTAGAGAGAAAGGTGGGGGTAAAGGGTTTGAGAATAATATGCGATATTGGATATGTAGAGGGAAAACGTGGATTCTGCAGGGTGATTTTTTTAGGGGGAGGGGGGCATTAGACGAGCGAAGGAAAAAAATCATCCTTTCAGTAAGAAGTAAAGAAGTAGTCTAGGCATAGACAGCAGAAGCAGAGATTGAAAAGGTAAAATTTAGTCAGATGCTGACATCATCACCCGACCTAGTGCCCTCTTTCGGGGATGGAAGGGCCCTTTGTTAAGGACAGAAAAGAAAAGTAAGACTAATGGTGAAGATTTAGAACTCAGAGCCGTTGTTAGTTGATAATATAGGTAGTCTGCCTCTTTCTCTTTTGCCATCAATCTTGCCTTGGAAAACTATAGATATAAGATTTATTTTTTAAGTGCTGCCCCCTATCCCCTTCCCCCGTCAAAAAAGAACCCCCCCTCCCCCAGTAAAAACCACACAAAACAAACAAATAAACGAACAAATAAACAAACAAACAAATGAAACCATTTTAACAGCTAAAAAGAAAGCAACAAGATAGAAGCCCCCTATATTATGTTTCTAATACAACATTTAGGTATGTGGACGCCTCATCATGTACTGCATGCTTGTGCTTTATCGGTGTCCCTTCTTCGCGGTATAAAAGGAACTTCTTTTTATTATTTATCTGCAAACAGAACGCCAAGGCCACTCTCTGTAACAAAATAGTCACTGCAAGACACGACGTCGGTTTGATACTCATACATCTTTAATTC